GTCTGGAACAGAGTAAAAGAAATCCGCTTTCTTAGCGAGCAAAAGGACTGGAGATTTATACCGGGGGAATTAAATTACCGCGGATCTTCCTTCGCGAGGTTGTAGTCCGTCGCAATTAGTGCAGTCTGAATGGTGGTTAGGCCCGAAATGGCTTTATGAGAGTGAACCTAACTGGCCCATGATAGAAAAAAATCCGTGTGAGGAGGAGATAAAAAGGGAGACTAGAAAATCGGTTTTGGTGCACATAGTTAATACGGAAAACCAGTTTAAAGCCAGTCATTATTTTTCTTCCTACGACAAACTCATTCGATTTTTAGCATGGATGCATAGACTCTTTACAAACTGTAGGAAGAAGATCGAAAATAGGAAAGCATTGAAAGGTGATAATCACGAAATACCGACTTATTTATCGGAGACCGAACGGAAAAATCTAAGGTTAACTCACGCAGAAAGGAAGACGGCTGAAATAAATCTATTTAAACAGCTACAAGTTCGCATGTTTGGTTCAATATCTAAGACTAGATTATCAGCTTTCAAAACAATGAAGGATGAGAATGGTTTGTACGTCCTAAAGACTAAGATCTTCAATCGAACAGACAATTACAGTTTTTTGTGTCCTATCCTTTTGTATGACGACAACGACATCATTCCTATGTTGATTCAAGAATATCATGAGATCATGGGCCATGCGGGAACACAAATAATTACGGCGAAAATACGAGAAAGATTCTGGGTTATCTCCCTTCGTAAAGTAACAAGATCAGTTATAAATAACTGCGTGACATGTAAAAGACAGAAGGTAAAACGTATGGAAACCGAAACCCCTCCATTACCTCGCAATCGAGTACGGGACGCCTCCATTTTCGAAATTGTAGGTACAGATTTTGCAGGCCCTTTAATTTTGCGGGGGGAGGGAAGGCGTGGATCTGTATTTTCACGTGCGCAGTGTACAGAGCGGTACATTTTGAATTAGTGTCGACGCTATCGACACAGGGTTTCTTAGAATGTTTACGTAGATTTATAGCAAGACGCGGGCGTCCAAGTATTATACAGGGTGTCCCGTAATGACCGGACTAACGCTTAAGAGTAGATTCTTGAGATCATTTTAAGACAAAAGTTCCAATACCAAAATGTTGAGACTATAATAGTTTTTGAATTATAAGTGTTTAAAGTTAACTAATCAGATCG